CGTAGATACAAAATCGCTAACGTTTTTGGTGACTACTGGACGTGTGATGACTAGATTAGTGGACTGTACCTTAAGTACCGCAGTAATTATGGTCCAGTCCCACATTGAAGGCGAAAGGGCATGACAAGAGCGGAAGTCCTGCATTCTGCGTAGTAGAGATCAAGACCCTTCGACACGCGGCCATCTGTAGTTGTGTAAGCGCTCCTTTCCGCTAGGGTGATATGGGCATGAATAAAGGAGTGTCCGGCGAGGGGTCAATGAACGTCAGCTTAGTGGGTTGGTTGGGTGATTTTGGAATCTGTGGGCGCCTGTCTGTGTTGCCAATCTAGAATCTGCATATGCTCGTGGTTGGAGCGCTCGGAAGTCGTGATCACATGATCCCTAGCCCGACGTGAGTGCCAGCGGCGGGAGGCTTTTGCGCTCCTGAGGCGCTACAGACTACATGCATGTCACGAGACGTGGCGTGCTAGATACCGGGCCAATCATTTCCCAGCTGCCTCTAAAGCAAGGCTGCAAATCCAACTTCGAAAACAACATCCCAAACAAGGGTGCAGCTGGATAAACAATGTTGTTCTGGAACACTAAAAACAGGCCGGATCTCCAGGCGAGATGAACGTCAACCTGGACTATTTGGAGATCGAGGATGACTAAACTTGATTGACTGAACCATCTACGCCACCATCAATGAGGCGTTTTGTGCCTACACCACTTTTACTAGGTCGAAGACTTTAACAAGGAAGTCCAACATCTGATGCCGGAAAAGGACAGCCCCCGGAGGCCAATATGGACACAATGCTGCCATCATCAAGGCTGCATCGGCTGTGGCGGAAACTGCGGCGTTTCGGAGGCTTAAACTGGCTCGTGAGACGATGGAAACCCGTAGATATATCTGTTGTGGCTAAATAAAGGACATGTTAGTTGTCATCAAGTTATTCTGGGGCCGCCAACCCTCTTCAAGTGAGCTGCCACTCAGTTCAGACTGAGGCGTCAGCTTGTCAGAGGGATTGCAGGTTTTGAGGCTTTGTGCCGAACGTTTTTCGGACATCTTTAACTGCTTATCTGTGTTTCAAGGAAGCCTTTCGGCAGAATTTATCGACCAGATTAATCGCGCACCCTATTTTCAGGAGATAATCAAAACAATACAACTGGCGTCTAACTGTGAACCTACAAATTTCAACACGGTCCTGCCGAAGAACACAAATAAGATGACATTCAATTAATATGTAGATTGACTTCGATGT